TGCCCCCCCCCCCCTTGGGGGGGGAAAAATGTGACCTGGGTGCTTTCTTTTTTTGGGATGAGATAAATTCTATTCAATAAATAAATTCTTGTTTTTATTCCATTAATATTAAATAAAGCTCCTAGGCTCTCAGGGCCGCTGCAGGGGATTCAGACTCCGATGGGGTTTTTGTCATTTATAACTAGTAAGTTATCTGGTGCTAGTATCTTCCTTCCCTCTGCAAAACACAAACAAGGTCAGCGTCCTTTCCTCGTCTGATGCCGTTCATTCGATGCAAAAATCATACAAGATGACAGACTACTACTCACATGTGCATAATAGAGACAAGCGAGATATAGAACCATACATGCAGGGCAGAGCCAAAGGAGCTGACGCGTTTCGGAGGGGTTACCCCTTCCTCAGAGCTAACATGCAGGTACCCCCAGTCTGAATTTATGCGCTCCTTTGGCTCACGGCTGCCTTCGGTGATGGACGGAGCTAGAAAACCGAAAACTGCTCTATTATTAGTATTGATGGACCGCATTGTATAAGTCATCATTGTTTTTCCCCAAAATTCCACTCTAACTGATGAACAGAACGCCGCGCCCAGCAAGGTTTACCGAGGGACAGAATCCTACCAAACATTTCCTAAGAGTTGCTCCATCTTTTCATGGGGCTGTCATGTGACCAAAGCACATGTGCACAATGCGAACCATGTGTGTGAACCCGCGACACGGAGGGGAGAGAGGGGGGGGCGGGCGCAGCTGGCAATGTTTATCCACTGTTTACAAAACGCAGACACGCATCTTTCTTAGAAGTCACTTGTTTGTATCTGCTTTTACATAACGCTTTCTGCTTCACATCAACTGCCTGACTTCTGTATAGAAATGTGATAGCGGCGCACTTGTTGTTGCCGGTCTGCATTCCTCGCTCCTTCCTCCTCATTTATATAATGCTTTAGTAGCTCTTCATGATAGCAAGTCATAAGCTCATTCAAAAATTCAATTAAAATTTACCCCCATAGTCTGTGTCTCTGCCCCTCCCACAATGGTGAGATTCCCCCCAGTAGTTTGTGTCTCTGCCCCTCCCACAATGATGAGATTCCCCCCAGTAGTTTGTGTCTCTGCCCCTCCCACAATGATGAGATTCCCCCCAGTAGTTTGTGTCTCTGCCCCTCCCACAATGATGAGATTCCCCCCAGTAGTTTGTGTCTCTGCCCCTCCCACAATGATGAGATTCCCCCCAGTAGTTTGTGTCTCTGCCCCTCCCACAATGATGAGATTCCCCCCAGTAGTTTGTGTCTCTGCCCCTCCCACAATGATGAGATTCCCCCCAGTAGTTTGTGTCTCTGCCCCTCCCACAATGATGAGATTCCCCCCAGTAGTTTGTGTCTCTGCCCCTCCCACAATGATGAGATTCCCCCCAGTAGTTTGTGTCTCTGCCCCTCCCACAATGATGAGATTCCCCCCAGTAGTTTGTGTCTCTGCCCCTCCCACAATGATGAGATTCCCCCCAGTAGTTTGTGTCTCTGCCCCTCCCACAATGATGAGATTCCCCCCAGTAGTTTGTGTCTCTGCCCCTCCCACAATGATGAGATTCCCCCCAGTAGTTTGTGTCTCTGCCCCTCCCACAATGATGAGATTCCCCCCAGTAGTTTGTGTCTCTGCCCCTCCCACAATGATGAGATTCCCCCCAGTAGTTTGTGTCTCTGCCCCTCCCACAATGATGAGATTCCCCCCAGTAGTTTGTGTCTCTGCCCCTCCCACAATGATGAGATTCCCCCCAGTAGTTTGTGTCTCTGCCCCTCCCACAATGATGAGATTCCCCCCAGTAGTTTGTGTCTCTGCCCCTCCCACAATGATGAGATTCCCCCCAGTAGTTTGTGTCTCTGCCCCTCCCACAATGATGAGATTCCCCCCAGTAGTTTGTGTCTCTGCCCCTCCCACAATGGTGAGATTTCCCCCAGTAGTTAATGTCTCTGCCCCTCCCACAATGGTGAGATTCACCCAGTAGTTTGTCTCTGCCCCTCCCACAATGATGAGATTCCCCCCAGTAGTTTGTGTCTCTGCCCCTCCCACAATGATTAGATTCCCCCCAGTAGTTTGTGTCTCTGCCCCTCCCATATCGACGTCACCGAACTCCCCCCCACCCTTCCCCAAGTGGCTCCGTCGGCTAACGAAGGGAAAGGAGGAGGAGTCCTGTGACGTCGATGTCCGTGACGGCTAACGAAGGGAAAGGAGGAGGAGTCCTGTGACGTCGATGTCCGTGACGGCTAACGAAGGGAAAGGAGGAGGAGTCCTGTGACGTCGATGTCCGTGACGGCTAACGAAGGGAAAGGAGGAGGAGTCCTGTGACGTCGATGTCCGTGACGGCTAACGAAGGGAAAGGAGGAGGAGTCCTGTGACGTCGATGTCCGTGACGGCTAACGAAGGGAAAGGAGGAGGAGTCCTGTGACGTCGATGTCCGTGACGGCTAACGAAGGGAAAGGAGGAGGAGTCCTGTGACGTCGATGTCCGTGACGGCTAACGAAGGGAAAGGAGGAGGAGTCCTGTGACGTCGATGTCCGTGACGGCTAACGAAGGGAAAGGAGGAGGAGTCCTGTGACGTCGATGTCCGTGACGGCTAACGAAGGGAAAGGAGGAGGAGTCCTGTGACGTCGATGTCCGTGACGGCTAACGAAGGGAAAGGAGGAGGAGTCCTGTGACGTCGATGTCCGTGACGGCTAACGAAGGGAAAGGAGGAGGAGTCCTGTGACGTCGATGTCCGTGACGGCTAACGAAGGGAAAGGAGGAGGAGTCCTGTGACGTCGATGTCCGTGACGGCTAACGAAGGGAAAGGAGGAGGAGTCCTGTGACGTCGATGTCCGTGACGGCTAACGAAGGGAAAGGAGGAGGAGTCCTGTGACGTCGATGTCCGTGACGGCTAACGAAGGGAAAGGAGGAGGAGTCCTGTGACGTCGATGTCCGTGACGGCTAACGAAGGGAAAGGAGGAGGAGTCCTGTGACGTCGATGTCCGTGACGGCTAACGAAGGGAAAGGAGGAGGAGTCCTGTGACGTCGATGTCCGTGACGGCTAACGAAGGGAAAGGAGGAGGAGTCCTGTGACGTCGATGTCCGTGACGGCTAACGAAGGGAAAGGAGGAGGAGTCCTGTGACGTCGATGTCCGTGACGGCTAACGAAGGGAAAGGAGGAGGAGTCCTGTGACGTCGATGTCCGTGACGGCTAACGAAGGGAAAGGAGGAGGAGTCCTGTGACGTCGATGTCCGTGACGGCTAACGAAGGGAAAGGAGGAGGAGTCCTGTGACGTCGATGTCCGTGACGGCTAACGAAGGGAAGGGGGGGAGGAGTCAGGTGACTTCGATGTCCGTGGCGGCTTACGAAGGGAAGGAGGGGAGGAGTCAGGTGACTTCGATATCCGTGGCGGCTTACGAAGGGAAGGGGGGGAGGAGTCCGGTGACGTCGATATCCGTGACGTCACCGGTTTGTTGTGACAGATGACGTGGATTGGAGCGACGTTCACCATATTTATTCCCAGAGAATGTTCTGTACGAGTCATTCTGAATGGAGAAAGCCGGTCGGACGACCAATGAAACGTCTTCGAGGAATAATACAGCAAAGTCCAGCGGCCTGGACTGATTATTTACAGATATACTTCTCCGCAGTTCCTTCTTGTGTACACATCTGATGCACCATAAAGATCGACAATCCTAACAGGACGACCACGCCGCCGCGCTCACCTTGGGCAGTGCTTAGCTGGCTTCTCGAAGGGGCAGATCTCGGCCACGGTTGAGTAGCAGTCAACTGTCTGCGCTGAGAGAGAAGACAAAACACGAGCACGTCAGAGACACAGACGTCCATTATCAGCCTCCGAGGACCCATTATCTTCAGATCCTTGTCTGCTGTCCCCAGGTGACAACAGTCTGCCAATCACGCAAAGGATCGCCAAAAGGTGTCGTGAAGTAAGAACAGAGGCAGCCAAACGCCACTGCCATCTACACAATTCCCGGCATGCCCTCTTACATTGTAATCACTGAACTATCCTACTAGAGGGTGAGTGCCTGCTGTTCCATCGAAGTTTGTGACTGCGTTAGAATGTGTGACCGGTCACGTGGTCACACATTTTAATGTGTGGAATGTGAGATCGCACTCACAGAGTCGGTGAGAAGTGACATTTCGGGACCGATCAGCTGTTCCAGGGCAGATCGGCTCTCCGGCACATGCCGTCTGCGATGCCGATCTGCACCTGGAACAGCTGAGAAAGCGTTGGAACTCTTCACCTTTTGCCGGTCGCATATTCCACCGCCAAAAAAGTGGGCGTGATTACGTTAAAATGTGTGACCGGTCACGCATTGCAACCCAGTCACAGTCTTTGATAGAACATCTGCTCCTCATGTTGCAATAAAGTAACCAAAATGTTCATAGCATTGCCACCCCCCCCTCCCCCCCTTCCATAGCAAAGGTGGGCAATTCCTTTTCTCACGGGCCCACATGGGAAACTGGGACTGCTGTGGAGGGCCGAACCTAATTCTGCTCAATATTACTCATATCACTTTAGGAAAAGCAATTATATGGTTTTGATAATGTCCCCATTAGAGTGCCCCTTTATACTATTGCCCCTTTATACTATTGCCCCTTTATACTATTGCCCCTTTATATTATTGCCCCCCAATTACCTCAGTTTACTACTTTATTAGTAGGCCAGAGGTGGGGGGCCGGGAGGTGGAGCACGCCGCAGGAGAGGATGGAAGAAGATTCTCTTCTGTCCTGTAAGAGGCCGGGGTAACGCATTTGACATCACTGGTTGCTAGGACAGCAGGCGGTCCTAGCAACCAGTGACTGCCGAGGAGGTGGACACCTGATGTTATTAAATGTTAGGACGCCAGCAGCCATAGCAACCAACAACTGCAGAGGAGCTGGGCCTGCACTGGGCTGAGGCTGGCAGTGGATGCATTGGCTGTTGCATCCACCGTGAGCCAATCATAACCAAGTCTGCGATCACGGCCTGAACTCAACTGCCTCTCCGTCCAATGTCTGCACCGTGCAAAAGGGCTGGATGTGGC